TTGTCATGTTAGTTTAAATGATGCTGTCCAAAAAAAGTTAAGGAATACTTTTTAATCGGAGAATAACATCACGTCAGTTAAACCTCTAGAAAACTGATCTGATCAGTTAAGTGGTGCAGTGGGTTTTATTCAGTGTCCGTTGTTCTGGAGACTGTTAGCTTAAAAGGAGAAAACCTGCATGTATCTCTTTGCTGCCATGCTGCTGCAATTGTCTTGCATAAACTTCATGCCTAGTGTTTCTGTCCAATTTTAGTGTGATTTTTGTGGTATTGTCACACCAAAGGGCTAGTTTTACTGATTTTAGTATTTTCATTCTAAGCCAAGCAGAAAAATAGCTCTGAGGCTAATACCAGATAAGAAAAAGCCTTAAATCATGAACAAGGGGTGTCTATTTGTTCACATGACATTGGTATGTGTTACCAGCCTGGGTATTATCTGATAGAGGCTGTGTCAGTAGTTATCTATGTGGGCTTTGGCTTCAAATTAGCACAGTTAAAGACATTCATTCCATCACTAAACAAGTCCTATGTAGAACACATGTGTCAGATATTGTGCATCTATAAATCCAGGCTTACACTATGCGATTTCTTTTTTTTGCCCTTTTCAGTTTTTTTACTTTCCAGTCGTGCGAGAATTTTACAATTTCCAACCCGACTTTCAGCCTGATCGTGTGTGGTGTAGTGAACAGGGGGTAACGAGGGGCGATCAGCTTCTCACGACTGCCTCCCGATCAGGAATCCTGAGGTCCGTCGTGGGCAAATCTCTCAGTGGGCATACGCAAACAAGGATTCTTCTGTTTCTTCTTCCTCTCAGATGTAAACAAAGAAGCATGGCGGGGGTGCAATGAGTGAAATGAGGTTTTGTCTGTAAAATTGACAGACCGTAGTAACCATGTTTGCTCAGCCATATCTTTGTCTAAATATGTCGTTGCCTTTTCTTTTTAGGGCTTTCAGCACAAAATTGCACAAATTGCCAAGGCAGAGCGGTTCACTATAGTGACCTACTCATTTGGATAGACGAGTCAGAGTAGCTCCATCTCACTGTGGAGCTGAGTCCGACGTGGTTTTTAGACGTACAGTGTAAGCAGGTAGATCGCATCAGTGCTTTTGCTGCACATATATCGTGAGCTGTGAACTTGCACTGTATGACGAAACCCTGCGGTTTGGTCGTACAGTGTAAGCTGCAACTGCGTACAATAAATTAAAAAAATCGCACAGTGTATGCCCGGCTTAAGCTGTATAGTATCTTTCCATTATGTATTTTCATGAAAAAGAGATCCAAGAGAAATGGCCGTTCAGCCACACTGGTAAAACTGAGACTACTGCCTTATGCTATGTTCAGACCGCAAGCAGCAGAAGCAGGTAGATTACATGCACAGTCAATGCTTAACTCGCATCAAGGTGCAGCAAAAGGTCCTGCAGTGTGTTTAGAGCAGCGCCTCACGAGCTTCTGAATACCTGACGCGACCGGGCCAGAGGCTGCTGTTAAAGGGGATTCCTAGAGACAAGGCACCGCCGCTGTACGGGGATCTGAGCGGCTCTGACAGCGAAATAATATCTGAAGGCAGGATCATAATCTGGATGAACTGACTGCATAGATGAAGTTTTTCAGGTGGACTTTCTAACTTAAAAACATATTAACACTGAGTTTACCTGATCACAGAAAATGTAGCTGCCATCGTTACAGGCAAAGAAAGGATAGTGTAGCTCCACCCAACGCCCATCAGACCCATGTTATAATCTTGCAGTCAGAGCAGTGAAGATGCTTCAGCCACGCGTCATAACTGAACTTCTACGCATAAAACATGAAGCAGCACGTTTTTGCTGCTTCTGCTGCGTGGGGTCTACTGGACAAAGTGGAAATGAACCAATCAAACTTCATTTACCAGATTGGGCCTTACTATTATCAATAATTATGTTACAGACATGAAAAATATAAATGTCAAAGAAAAAACTTAGTATTGTTTTATACATTTTTGGAAGTTCTAGCTTCACCTCACAACCGTCAAACATTAAATAATTTGGTTTGATGGAAGACAAAACTGAAAGGACACTAGAGCTACTTTGTAATGTGTTTTCTTTTACATTTATATTTTTTCACATTTGTAATATTATAAAAAATAGTAAGACACGACCTGAATTAAGTTATTTTGCTTAACAGTTCCCTTTCCACTTTAAAAGGAAGAGAAGTTGACCAGGTAATTTACTGGGACTCATGTGAAAGGGGCTTACAATCTATTAAAAATGATACGTGCCTATTTTAATTATCGACCTAAGTATTATAAGTTTTAATAAGTCTTCTTATGCTTAATTAAGATTAATCTAAACAGTACAATTTTTTCTTTAAAATTTATAAAAAGTTACTGTGTTTATTTTCATGTGGATTAGGACCTGTCAGCCTTGTAACAATATGAATCTTTCATGTTAATTTGTGTTTGTTTTCTTATTTGAATACTTGGTATTTTTCTGTTGGTAATACTAATATTCTACATTTATTCTGTATGTCAAAAAAGGCTTTCAAGAAAAATGAGGATGCCAAAAGGAGACTGGTGGAGGCTTATGAACTAATGTTGGGCTTTTATGGAATACGTTTAGTCAACAAAAACACCGGTGAAGTGAAGCGTGCAGAAAATTGGAAGGAACGTTTTGGAAACCTGGAGAGGTAAATACCGATTTCCGCCATTTTTCACATCCTTTTGGTTTTGTGAGTAGTAACAGCACCACCTGTCTGATCTGTTGCAGGAATATGCACAACAACCTGAGGATAACTCGCATCCTGAAAAGCCTCGGGGAGCTCGGCTTCGAGCACTACCAGGCTCCGCTTGTGCGCTTCTTTCTGGAAGAGACTCTGGTCAAGAAGACGCTGAGTAACGTTAAACGCAGCGTGCTCGACTACTTCCTGTTTGCCGTGCTAGACAAACATGAACGGCAGGAGCTTGTGCGATTTGCTTACCTTCACTATGAGCCAAAAGACAAGTTTGTTTGGTGTCCCCGAAAAATCCAGAAACAGTTCAGAAAGGCTGCCAAAAACTCTGAAGTCGCTGGGAATGTAGACGGGAGGGATGAAACGTTTTTACACTGTAAAAGCAAAGACGGGGAAGCAGCGGCACAGCAGAAAGAAGATGAGATGAATAATATTACTAAGACTATTAAAGAATCTGAGAAAAACAAAGACAAAAGCAAACAGCCTGAAGAATCTTCCAAGCCACCAGCGGAAGATGGGGCTCTTGGAAATGGAAATCTGGATTCAGAGTCTAATATTGGAAATAACAGCAATGGAAATGAATCTCCAGATAATGATCAAGAGATGGAACAGTCCCCTTGTCAAGATGTTGACTCCAGAGAGCATGAAGTGACCACAGATGATGAGCAGAAATCCACAGGCAGCTCTAAGCTCGCTGTTCAAGAATCGGACATTATGCAAACCAGTGCGGACAAAGAAGCTGAAAAACCTCCAAAGAAGAAGAGAGAAGATGACGAGTTCCCACAAATCAACAAACCTGCCGAAGACTCTGCTTCTGCTGCCAGCATGGAGGATAAAGCTGCTGTCGATAAAGCTGCAGGTCAAACAAGCCCATCAGTCCAAACTCCTCTTAAGACCTCAAAACACTCACCCTCTCCGTCTTCTGAAAGGGAGGAAAAGATCCCAAGGACTGATTTTATAATGACGGATAAAACAAACGAAGAAATGCTACAAGACAGTATGCCAGCATCAGATGGGATGCAGATCAGCAACGATGTAGAAGAAGAACGAAATGGGACCGAGTCGGAGGACTTTCACATGGATTCCACCCCCTCAGGCTCAGATCAAATTAAGGGAGCCTCATGAAGAAGTGGTGAAAGAAAGAAATTCTTATAAACTAAGATTAAATGTACTATAAGGACAGAATATGACTGAGCATTTTCTAGGCCTTATTTTTACTATATTTAATGTTAAGATGCCATTCATTTGTTTTTACTTTAAATGAAATATGGGTTTTGAGCCAAAAGCAGAAATATGTTACTATGATGCTATAGTTTAAGGTCTGTTTCTGACTACAACATCTTCACAACAAAGACGTTAAGTTCTCTAATGCTGAGTTTTTCCGGCTGTAATGAAGAGAAGGGATTCAGTGGTTGTATATATTTAAACGTGCAGAACAAGAACATATTTTAAAATTACAAAGCATGAGCTAATGAGATTTATTGCTGATTTAGCGTTTTATTTGACTGTAAACAATCTATACCAAACAAAGGATCAAATCTTCATTTACTCGACTGATATAGTCCAATTTTTTGTTTTTTATGGTTAAAAAAATCTAAAGTTCTGTTTCTTGAGGGAAAAATGTTTTTGAAAATATAATTATTTCATAAAAGTGTGTTCTTTACTGAACAGTATGTTTGCTTGATACACAGTCCACCTCTTTTTATCTAAGGTGCTGCTTATTTCACCATTGCATGTGAATAAAAGAAGAAAATAGGTGTTGCTTGTCAACAAGTAAAGCTAATAGTTCACCAGTCTTGACAGCCACCAGAGAGTTAAAAGGTCTTTGCTAAATAAGCTGGCTGCCCAGGATGCTATGATGAAGCATATTTTGGGAAAATTGGGTGAAAGGGAAAAGTTTCACTGCCAACAGTGCCATCTGAAGCTGGCCTGTTAGCGGGCTTTTAGCTAGCAATGCGTATGTAGAATGTACGCAATGTTTTTGTTTTTTTTTTTTTTCAAAAAAAAGTTGACTCAAATTTTACAAGCAGATGCTGGAGTTGGAAAATTAATTTTTTTCTGCTCAATGCACAACATCAAACAATCAGAGAAGCTGTTCTGTGAGCTGGCAGGGAGACCGACTCATGTAGAGACGCTATGTTCACTCCACTGCAGCGGATTATTAACGCTTAATTTAACCTAAAATGTCGGAACCTTCTGGTAAAATATGTTCACTTTTATTACTCATGGGTTTGCAGTTGGAGCCACATACATGAAAAACGACAACCTCTACTTCCAACAATCACAGACAGTAGGGGAAAACCCCCAAGAGGCTAATAGGCCCAATGCAACTGTTGCTGGGAATTCCCAGTGGCAGCGCAGAGAAATAATATTTTAAGAAGGATCTTGATCTTGATTAACTCATTTTTTTGAACGATGTTTTCAGGTGGACTTTGTCACATAAAAAAAAAAACAAATTTTTACCCACTTTTCACAGCGAATATAACAAAACCACTCTGCCATTGAAAACAGGCGCAGCAGACGCATCTGGAAACACTTTACTGGACGTGCTTCAGGAGCATCAAAGATGCTCTAGAGGCGTTTATGACCTTATTGTGTACAAGCATAAAAAATGAAGCAGCAGGCACTTTTTTTAATGCGAGGGGTGAACTGTGTGGTACTCTCTTTTCTACAGAAACAGAATTTTAGATTTTTTTTCAGGAGCTGAAAACCATAATCGTCCAGATAAATTTAAATAAACCATATAAAATATATTTTTTTATTTAACTAAATAAATTAACTTTGAAATTCTTTTCATTTAGAGGCAGTTCTATTAGTATAAAGGTCGTAATAAACTGCAGAAGTAATGAAATTTGGATTGCAAAGATTTTTTTTTCTAATTTAATTTCACCATTTTTTGCACTGAGAAATACTTCTAATTTACTTTTTTTTTCTGTATTTGGACTGTTTTTTTCTTTGTAAAACAACGTATTGTTTCCTAATCAAATGAAATAAGCTGCGTATTTCCGATGAAGCTGCACATGCTGTGATGCTGATTTAGGAGGTGGATTACTGAACTGTTGAGAACCTTGCCAAAAAAAAAGTAATGAGACTGGCTGATTGTACTTTTCTATTTGTTTTGAATGAAATGATAAATGCTTTGGCTGCGACTCAAACTTTGTTTCTTTAAAATCGGTGCGTTCAATGAAAATGAAAGATCCAGTGTGATCGGCATCCAATTTATAACTGCACTGATTTCCGCTATGACTTGTCGAATTTACTGCATTTTACCTGAACTGACCTTTTTAAGGATTTCCCAGTTACACACCTGGCTGTTATGAGAGCTGAATAAAAGTCATGCTATTTTCTGAAATGCATCTGTTGAACTAAATACCAGTTTTCAGAGTACATTGAGTCTCTCAAGAAATCTGCAGAACGTTTTATTGTTAAGTTGTTTTTTTCTGTTCAGGCATTGCTTTTATTTATCACAAGATTGTGTATTATTAGCTAAATTTGGGGCTCCAGCCTGAATCAATATAAGCCTATCAGGCCTTCATTGAGGAAGTAAGAAGGTAACCAAGAAAGGAAGCATAAAAGGACTGGGTCTGATCCACAAGTTGAAAAACATTTAAGCTCTAGTTATCTTGCTTGAAGTATTTAGTAAATTCAGTAAGTTATTTTTTTGTAATCCATGTGGGTCTTTTGTGGGATTTTTTTTTTTTAAGAAAGGTACTTAAACTACAGAAACCCTGAAAAATGCTCTTAGTTTACATCCCTTTGGGTACCATATTATTCATCCCAGCTATTTTCTTAAATGCCCTTCTATATGACTGAATCATTATAATTTAATAGCTTTTTGTAATACTCTACAGATAGAAATCTGAATTGTAAGTTATCACATTTTATGCTGGTGGTCAATAACCAAATGGAAAGATTAGCTTAATAACATAGAAGAAAATAAATAGTTATCAACTAAAATTGTTTATATTTTTACTGTGTTAAAAGTAGTATATGATAGTGGGTTTTATACAGCTCCTGGAGTTCCCTGAAAAACATTTATCAAATTATATCAGTCAAAACTATAATATCAATCTACATCATCATCTGACATTACTGTGTCACAGTCTGAACAAGTGATCTTTTTTAATTAAAATTCCAGAGTTGGGACTTAAATGCAAATGATGTGTCATAGATGTATGAGGGCAACCTATGTGATATTGGGAAGCATTGTAGGGTCATCCAAACAAATCGATTCAATAGTGTACCGTGATAAAGCGGGTGATTCATACCCTTATAACACATGCAAGTGTTTAAAGTAGGCTGGGGGGAAGGTTGCTGCAACAGTATTGATCTGCTTTTGTCAACTGAAGCCCCAAAAGAAATATAATATTTTACTCCAGATATGGACCCACTTTAAAAACTGATGCCTTCTGCAGCATCGCCATGAAGAAAGCTGCATCTATATGAGCACCCTCTTGTTGTGACACTGAAAGCCATCCAGAACACCCAGAAATTCATTTTCCCATCCAAGAAGGAAACATTTTAGTTTTTAGCACTTTTCTACATTGAGTTTGTTGCTGGAAAGGAGATGTTGTGCCATAAGCCCTTCTATCAACAATAACATGTTTTTTGGCAGCACCAAGTATCAGTGAGGGCCTTCATTTGGGTCAAGGTTCTGTCTGTTTTAACAGATATTCTGTCAATTCCTTCAGCTTAGCACAGGTTAATGGTATTAGGTTCTACCAATGTGTTTTATCTCCACAGCCCACAGAAAGAGGCCTTAATCACGCAACTCAACAATGCCACCACTTCAAAGACATGCTTTGGTATTAAGGGGTCAGGATAGTGGGAGTTCCTGGCAGAAAATAATTTGATTTACTTAAAAATGTTTGACTTATTAAGATAAAGAGTCATAAAGTTTTGATAACTCCAGGAACAGAAAATCCAATTTTAGATGCATTCCTCATTTATTATCTACATTCAATCACTTGCTCCTGCCTTTATATTTTAAAGCTCATTAAACTAAAGGAGTTTTAAACCTACAGGCCTTCAAAAAAGGCAACATGTTGCATCAGGTGTTGTTCATGGTAAAGATTATCAGATTCCTATTTGTAAAAATCTAAAATAAATAGTTTTACTCCACCTTTTCTCCACCTGCATTGGTCTGTCAAATATAAACTGGAATAAAACAGATTGAGGATTGTGGTTGAAAATAGACAAAATATCAATTAACAGGATTTCCTTTTGCCTTAGAGATCTTTCTGAACATTTTTAGCTCAGCCTACTTTCTTCCGAGTCCAAGCAGGGTCCCCCCACCCCCTGCTTCCCTCACACCCCTCACCCCTGAGTTCAGCTTGTCTGAGTTCAGCCCCTTCAGCTGGAGGCTCAGGTTTTTCTGGGAGCAAAGAGAAAGCCATTCAGGGGCTGCGAGCCGTCAGGAGAAGGAAGGCTCCATACGAACGCTGGGGGGGACAGGGACGAGAGTAGACGTGGAGCAGGGGATTTGACCTTTATTCCTGTTCAACTCAGGTCTGTGAGGGCGATCGGGGAGCTATGACGGTGCTTTCTGCTCTTTGGGTGATCTTTCTGTGCCAGCTTCTGTCCTCATCTTCAGCCCAGGTAAGGCTCGTCAAACAGCATTTTTCCTATCCTGAAGATATCTTCATTGTGTCTTAGTGTCTGCTGGATGCATGTCTGATGGGCCATCATAAAACATGGGCAGTCCTGCATGCATCCATCTTATATGTTTGTGGGTTTTTTCTGTAATCCTGATGAGGCCTTATATTCATATTTTTACTTTCTCTGTTGTCGTGTAGAACTATAAACCACCTCAGTTAATAATTCAGATAAAATTTGCACAGGTGGGTCTGTAGCTGATGCAGTCGGAGTTTTATTTTTTCTCCTAACCTGTGGAATGTGCAGACTGAAAATCAGTGAGCACAATGCGGCCTCTGTTCATTCAGCACTGTTTAAGTTAGAGTGCTTCTGCAAAGTCCTTACAGAGATCCATTCATTGAAATGAGTAAAAATAAAAAAAGAAGGAATACAATAATAATCCAAGTCATATTGTGCACAAATGGGGCTTAAAGCATGCTCTGTTTGCTTTCCATCATGTGTTGCTCTTCATATTAGACTGATTTGATTGTATACTCCGTTACATGAAATGAACCTGACTTAATTAGTGCCTTCAGCTTATATTTGCTATGAATTGGAATCTGATAGGGTTTTTTCTATCAGGCAATGTTATTAGACATTCTGCTTGGTGGTTATTAAAGCATTTCAGACACAAAACTCTGGTTTTAAAGCTTTTTTTTATTCTGCAGCGGCCTGGCCCCAGAGGACCCCCTGGGCCACAAGGACCCCCAGGGCAACCAGGAAGGGATGGCACTGATGTGAGTTTACCAGACACCAAGGGCACACTTAACATTTGCCTGGAAGCTGTACTCTTCCATGTTCAACTTTCAACCAATAGCAGTAATCAGATTAATTAGCTTAAAACTTCCTTCAATATTTTAGAAAAAAGCTGCTCTGAAGAAACTTCTGCCTGAGAGAAGCTCCAAAGGTTTTTCATATTTCTGATGCCAGGAAAGGTGGGAGTCAGAATCAAGGGGAGAAACTGCCTCCCTCACATTTAGGCTCTACTTCCCAATTGGCCGTACGACCAATCACTCCTATAAGTGGACAGGCTTCCGTTAATATTAATTAATTATTTGATAAGTTGTCTGATAAAAGCATAAATGTAGGAATGGCTGATGGATTTGAAGTGTAGCAGTAGATCACCTCTTTATTAGTCGCCCTTCCAACACCTTTAGAAGGACACATTCTCTTGGTGTATTTTTTTATTTTGGATTCCAGTCACTTTTCTTTTTGTGCGCGTACATAAATGGAGCAGAAGGTCGTTCAATCGAAAAATGTCATCACTGTGACTCCTCCTGCAGCTCCACCTACATTCATTAATTGTTACCTGTTGGATTAATGCAGGCAGAGTTTATGGGTGTGACTCAAAATACCACGTTTATTATTCCTGCTTAAAAACAGCAAATCTCCTTTAGTGGGTCATGTCAATGAAAGGAGAAGACACTAAAGGTATCATCCCAATGATCTCTATTATTAGATGCTGGAATTTAGTTGGGAAATATGGAAATCTCTATAGTAAGATTTAGCTTCTCTTTTAAATTAGAAACTATTCATTAGGGTTAGTGCTGATTAATCATTTGCTTTCTAAATGCCCCACTTATTTATATACCAGAACATTTCTTCAGATTTTTGCTCTGGATATTTTAATACCTCCAGTAAAGTTTGGGCACACAGAGGACCCATTCATGCATTCCCCAACCCTGTGAGACCATCTAGAGTTTCAGCTCGCACCTCCTCCCTGCACCTTCTTCAAACCACACTGAGGCATTAAACATGTGACCAGTCTGCATCGCCCCAGCTTAGAGAGGTTTGTTCTCCGCTAGTCACTGCAGAAGGGTTCAACACTGTCAACAGAGAAGCAGTTCATGCATTCCTTGCTTGGGCCATGGAAGAAAAAGTTGCAGAAACTGCTCCTTTTGACTATAGTCAAAGCCAGGAAATCTTTACATCGTAGAGAAAGTCATGTTGCTTATCACTGAATAGGTTAAAATCTAACATGTTTTTATCCTGTTGATAGGGGAAACCTGGACCTCCTGGGCTTCCAGGGAAAGCTGTAAGTATTTGAACCATTCTGACAAGTATTTATAAAGCGCATTCACACCAAAGTGCTGTACATCTAGAGAGTAAATTTAAAACCATCAGCAAGTAGATTTTTTTTTATTAAATCTTAAGCCCAACTCACACAATAGAACAAGCAATGCAGGCTGTACTGAATGAAAATGTTCATAAAGGATATTAAAATTAGACGGTGAATGCGGCTACCCAACATGGAGAGGAACACAAAAGGTTTAAAGTTTTCATTTCCCTTTGAACAAGTGAAAAGAAAAACTTTTTTTTAAACTTTTGAATAACTTTTTTTCTTCCTTTCACATTAATGCAGCTATACTGCAATAAAGAAATGGTGCATCATTTCAGGGAAAAGTTGTTATTTAGGGTAAATATCGATGATCGCATTGGGGATTGAAAATTATAGCATTATTATTACAGGGAGTGAATTTCTAATTATTAGAAATGTGACTTGTCACATTAACAATGAACCACAACCCAGAGGGGATAGACAACATCTGTACACAACTGAAAGTATCATTACTTCATATATTTTCACTACAAAAGAAGTAAAAAGTATTTATCCAAAATACAGTGAAGAGTACAAGTATTTGGTAATAAAGTGAAATACTAACTGATCAGAAAATCTGATTTTCTAATTATCTATATCCTACAAAATGATAATACAAAAAAATCAATACAAATAAATGACCTCATCACAGAAGAAAAACTTCAAGAATCACCAAATGACAGTTTTCCACAACATAAGGCTTCCAATACATTTCTATGTATTGTTTAATGTATCTTCAACCGGCTCACAGTCAAATAGACAACATGAACTGTTTCTGTTGCATCATTATTTAAATCATGTTTGAAGGTTTGGTAGAGTAGCTTAAATTGTTCTTAAGCTATTGGTAACACTTGAATTTATTATTCCTCACGTGAAGAGAAAAGATATTTTTCTAAATGAAACTAATTTCTAACCACTGCTGGTTAACTGATAACCTTTGGGAATAAAAAAAAAACTCCCCACCTGGTTGTGATCGTTAAATATTTCAACCATTGCACCAGTAAATAGCAATATGTTAGAAATATGGTTGGATGCTTTTATTACCCTCCATCTGCTAAAAATGCTCATGTTATACTTAGACCTAGACCAACTTTATTGTCATTTTGTATACAGAGTGTACATAAAACAAAATTACGATGCATACAGCTTTTCAAATGTGAATGAAAGTTACCATTTATAAAGTGCAACAGTGGTCAAGAATGTAAACAGTGTACAATATGGGGAAAAGAAAAACCAGTTTAAAGTCATGCTGCAAAAGGTATTGATATGGAAAGGTTTAGTTCATTGCAAATAAATAAATATGGTGCAAAATGCAGTAGAACTTCAAGTTGTATTTTATTCAAAGGGATTATGAAAAATATCAGCCGCGTTTGTAGTGCAATTAGTACAGTTACTTGTTATATCACATACCTGATATCGACAAAGGAAAAATTGATTGAGTCCGTCATGCTCATTTATAATTTATATACATATATATATATATATATATATATATATATATATATATATATATATATATATATATATATATATATATATATATATATATATATATATATATACATATATATATATATATATATATACAATTTATATGTATATATAACCTGTTATTAAATCTCTTGTTAAACTGGGTAAAGCTTTATGAAATCTGGATGCTTTGCAGGGCCCTAAAGGGAAAGCAGGAATACCAGGAGCACCAGGAAAACCCGGTCTACCAGGACTTCCAGGAGCTGATGTAATGTTCAAATCCACAGATCTCACGCTATTTGATCTTTTTAGAATGTGTTTTAAGACATTTGAATCTTGATTAGAAAAGTTATAAAAGATTTGTTATTCAGATCATTCAAAGAAACAGTAGATGAAGAAGTAATGCTGCTGCTATGCATCCCCAGGGTTTGACTGGCCCGGATGGTCCTGCCGGCAAAGACGGACCCCCAGGGGAAACAGTAAGTTGTTTTTGTTTTGTTTTTTTGTTCTTCTGAACCTGTCTTGATGTGACAGATGCATGTCCAAGATTTTAAAGATTTTAAAATCCCAAACCTCCCATCAGGATCCATCAACATCCCGCAGCTTGTTCTGGTTCTTTTAAACCTAGAGGCTCTCATAGGCACACAGTTCATATTCTCTGTCACCATGAATTTGTCTAATTGGCTCAACTTCTTGGTTAGGAATATTTTAATGAGGGATCAGGATGAGGGTATATTTTCTCCTTCTCCCTAATCTGGCCTGGAATGTGCCCCATTTCCCATCGGTAGGGAAATAACTGTTCGAAATATGGACTCTTTACACAATAAAATAGCACATAAAATCTAAATCGTTTAGACCACACCCTGAGATTAAACAAGACATATAGTTTTCATAATACATCACATTTATGAAATGACAGACAATCATATGAAATGTCTAACCAGTTAATTAGCCTCCTTAATGAGGAAGCCAGATTTAAAGCCCCTTCCTAATTACATAGATAAGTAACCTGTGGCAGCTCTGCTGAGTTATTAAGGGTGAAACAACATTTAGATGTGACACAGATTTAAGCCGGTTAATAATGGTGGATGTTAGTTTTAAGATTTTGTTTTAAATGAAGCACAAAAAGACCTTCAGCACTTAAACCTAATTATAGAAGGAAAGCGAAAGTGATCAAAAACCAGTAAATTAAGCATAGAAAGAACTGAAGTTTGCATCATTTTATGAGTCATTCTGAGGAAGTAAAGCTCTTCTATTTGCACCTTCATTATTCCTTAGTTTTACTGTGTTAAAGTGGCTATAATCAGTTTTGTGATATTTATTCCCATTAACATGGGTTGTGTTGTTATAGCAGTAGGTAATACAACCATGTGCTAATCTAGGATACTTTATCTATTTTCTTACACCAGCCAGCTGAATGGTTTTAACTCAAACCTTTAAGACACTTCTTACACACTTTATAGACTGTATTTCTGTGCATACACTGCTACTAATAGCTATTTACTTTCTAACATATTTCTGTTTTTTTGTTTGTTTGTTTTTATAGCACTCTTTGAGACATTTTAATTAGACAAAGAGAAAATACAAAAAACACGATTTAAGTTAGGATTTAATTTATTACCTGGAAATAACAATCCTTGCTAAGGTATCTAAACCAATCCTAAATGATCAGTCAGCTGTCATTTAACACATTTTCTAGAAAGCTTTGTTCATTATTTATATAGAATAATGAAATCACTTAAAAAGAACCTGCCTGTCAACATGAAACATTAAATACATTTAAGAACAGATAAGAAACAACATCATTAACATCCATTGGTTTAAAAAGGTCATTAGAAAAAAAAGCTATCCATCAAAAGCTCATCCAGATGGTAACAAAAGACCCAAGAACAACATGTAAAGCACTGCATGCCTGCCTTGCCTCAGTTAACATCAATGTTCAGGATTGAATGATGAGAAAAAGATAAAGACGTCGATGGGATTGTTTTAAGATCAAACCACTGCCGACAAAAAGAAAAACAAAGAGCCGTTTCACATTTAGATGATCCACAAGACCTTCAGGGAAATATTCTGTGGACCAGTTGGTCAGATATGGAACCCTTGGAAGTTGTGCATCCTACCGTGTGTAAAATTAACACAGCAAAAAAAACATCATGACTACAGTCAAACATGAGGCCAAATTTGCTGCTGTGCTGCTTCTAAACCTGGAAAACCTTTAAGTAAAACAATGAAATCAGTTTTTGACTTTAGGTGTAAATTCATGCGGGATAAGCAGCCAGACTGTTTCCAATGTCCACCTCTGATTGGTTCAAACACTAAATGTTTGGAGAAGCCTCTTCAGATGCTGCAAGACTGCGATCGAACAACCAACTAAACCTTCAATAGTGATGGAACTATTGTTAGAGTAAAACCAACAATTATTAGGTTTATGGAACAATTACAAGTTAGCTTTCTTTTCCTTTAAAAAAGAAAACATCTTTCTGTATTAACTTAGGTTATTTTAGTCTGAAAGATGATCTGAAAGATGCAAGTATGAGAAGAAATAGAATATATTGTAATGGGTCAAATACACATGAGAAGCAATCCAGACTTTAAAGCGATTCAACAAAACAGAGCTCTGGATGAAGTTATTGTTCATTATCCTTCAAGCCACAACCTGAAATCCTTGATTCTTCCCATTAATAGTCTAGTACTGTACAGGCAATGACTCCATTTTCTAAGGGGAGCACTTACTGTTTTTAATAATCATCTGCAACTCTCTCAGTTCACTGATTTTGATTCTCTGTTGCTGCCAACAGGGTGACGCGGGCCCTCCCGGTCCACCTGGACCTCCTGTAAGCAATCACACACTATACACATACACCAAACCTGGCAAATAGTTATAACTATATGTGTGCCTGCTCTACTGAACTACAGGGTGTTCTCACGCTGTAAAATCAGCTTCAAACAAACAGGCCACTAGATGATGGGGAAACAAATGATACGTTTTCCCCTTCAGACTCTGAAATTGACATGTAATTTATAGCAAACAGAACTGCTGACATTCGCAGGGTGAAACCATCTGCTGGATGTTGTTTTTATTAGTAAAATCTTGGTTCTTGGTGGGACCTAATTTGCCTTCCTGTGTCTTCCGTAGGGCAGGGGGAGACCCGGCGCCCCAGTGAGTAAACTTCTTTCATTTAAAACTTTTTTCTAATTTGCACCCTGGGAGCTTGTGTCTGTCTCACTTTGTTGCACTCTGATGCCTTCAGTAAATTCATACATCACGGCTTTTGTTTGTAGGGATTACCTGGAACCAATGGGTTGCCGGGCGGAGTAGGACCCCAGGGACCACCAGTGAGTCTGTCTCATATAAATAATTAAGGATATACAAGCATATGTCAGGAGTTCATGACTGATAATTAGGGATTCTTAAAGCCTATAAATGGATTTTCTATAATAAAAAAAAAAAAAAAAACAGGGACTAGATTCAGTGTATAATTGTGGAAAATGTGAGTGTTATAGTCCCTTAAAATTGCATTCCCAATTTTCAGTATATTTTAATCAGATATTTCTGTAGACCAACACCAGGTAATGCCTGATTTTGAAGAGAATGGAAATGGCAATATGGTTTACTTATTTTTTTATAAACAGAGACCAGGAGGAAAGAAAGCCTAACATATATTAATATGAAGGACCTAAATGACAAAAAAAATAAATAAAAAATTAACATTAGAATTTACCAAATACCTAAAGAGAATCCACTTATGCTTCATAGAGTCTTCGTTTGAATCCATCTGTTCCATGAAGGCATCATTAGAGAACATTTAGTCAATATGTAGCTTAAAGCTTAATGAAGACCAAGAAACACACCAGACAAGTCACTGGTAGAAGTTTTGGAGAAGTTTGAGCCACAATGAGGTTTTAACACATCATTCCAAGCTCTGAATGCATCATGCATGTTCAGTCCATCATGGTGAAATAAAAATACTCTGGCAAAACTCCAACGCAACCAAGAGATGGACAACAGACAGACTGAACAAGAAGAGCATTAATCAGTGAAGATGAAAAGCATTGACACCATTGACAAGTATTGATCATTAGATTCATACAGTGAATAATTTCTGATTGTAAAAGCATAAAATAATCAAATCAATTCATAAAAACATGACTGATGCAGCAAACAGGTGGAAGGAGGTGATCTGGCCAGAGGAGACCAAAATCAGATCCTTGGGTTTATGATGCTGGACAAACCATCCCCTGCGTGACACGGTGTTGGCAACGTCATGCTTTGGAGATTCTGTTCTCTAACAGAGACAGAGAAGCTGTCTAGGTTGATGAATGGATGTAGCTAAAAACAAAGTAACCTTAGCAGAAAACCTGCAAAAGACTGGTGACTTGGTTAGAGATTTACCTTCTAGAAGGAGAAAAAACCTAAACATGCATCAAGAATAGCAAAACATTTTGCATTATTTTTCATAGACTGTAAATCTAACTTTTCGGATCAAACTACTAACTTTACAACTATATAAAAGACTTCAAGTAGACGTGGGCCTTAAGCATTGAACTAAAGTGAAGGATTACATCTGGTTGACTGAAAGAAATAGATCCAGCAAATGTATTTATTTATTTAATTAAAACTGCTAAAAAATGTTCCTAATACCAGTTCCTTTATAATATGTTAGGGTCCAGAGGGTCTTCCAGGACTTCAAGGACCAACTGGACCTGATGGACCCCCGGTAGGGCGAAATGTCAATGACATTATATCTACTGCTGCTTTTAATTAGCAGCATACTGGGAACCAAATAATACAACACTTTGAGAAATGAACTAGATGTGATTTATGCATTTCTTGTTTCTTCCATCAGGGGCTTCCTGGTACCCTGCAAGATCTTACTGGTGACCTTCTGGTAAGATGTCTGTACTGCACACCAGAGAAGCTGTAAATGAACATTTGTTTTGAAAGCTCAGTGAAAGTGGAGTCCTCAGCATCATGCCTCTGTCCTCTGCAGTGTCCTGCTATTTGCCCTCCTGGTCCCCCTGGTCCACCCGGGATGCCAGGATTTAAGGTAAACACGATTCTATTTTTTTAGCTATTTTTTAAGCGCTGCTCTGCATGTTCTCATGTAACTATTCATGTTTGACCTCACAGGGACACACTGGACACAAAGGAGACAAAGGAGAGCCTGGAAAAAATGGGGAGAAGGTGAACTGAGCTTGCGACTTATACATCAGCTGTTATAAATGAGACGCATCTAATGGTTGCTTTAAGGGTCCTATGTTTTCTCTAGGGGGACCCTGGTCCACCAGGACAACCGGGTATTCCAGGAACTGTTGGTCTGCAGGTAAAATGTTAATTTTTTTGAAAGAACAGCAAATTTGATCAGCTACCTAATCTACAAAGCATGTTTTCTGTGTTTACACGGCGATCTCATGATGTCTTTCAGGGCCCGCGTGGTCTGAGAGGTCTACAAGGTCCAATGGGACCTGCAGGGGACAGAGTAAGCACAATCCTGTCTTTCATTGTCAGCCCCTGTAGAAAACCAATCAGGTCTGGAAGCTCTATCTGACTTAAGTATCATCTGTTTGTCTGCAGGGCTTCCCAGGTTTCAGAGGCAAGCCTGGCCAACCTGGAATCATTGGAAAGCCAGTGAGTCACTCCTTGTTTGTTTCCTGTTTTTTACTGTTATCGTGTTTTTTGTTAGTCCACAGTGAGAATGGACGGCTGGTCCCATCAATGAATAGCTGGGTGTGTTTCATCTGATGTCTGCAGGGTGATGTCGGAGAAAAAGGACCGCAGGGATTTAAAGGACCTAAAGGAGAGATTGTGAGTCAAAAATTTGTTTTTATTTTCATGAATATGAGACATTGCTTTAAAACATTGAACATATTGAGATAATTTATTTTATCTGTGCTGCTTAAACCGTCCACACATCAAAACTTCAGGTCTTTATTTTGGTTGTTTATAACTTTCACACTTTTAAAGTATTCTTGGGTATAATTCACTATCAAGTTCAGCTAAAAACTAATTTAATATTTCAAACATGTTACAGGACACTAGAATATCCCAAAATACTTCAGCCTTTTAATGTCTTTACATTGGTTCATTTTTTTCAAGGTTTTCTTGCCTAATGACACTGAATTTATTCTCTTCTTAGCCATCCTCTTGCTTTCCAGGATTTTTGCAAGCATATTCTACATGCAACACCTTTATCGCATTTAACACAACTATAGCTATGAATGAATCCATAAAAATATAGGAAATTGTGTCCTCCTTCACAAATTGCGATTATAAAACCACTGACTTAGGGAATAGGAGCCTCCAGGCTCATAGGTAGGGGAATCTCTTCCACTTGTCCATAGACTTATTTAAAGATTTCATATACAGATACATTTTCTTAATTACATTTCTTAAATAAATTTTTCTTATCTCATGAGAGCTAGTTCACATTGGCATTATGCACTTCTATCACTGGGTAATTTCTACTAATAATAATTCTGCTGAAATGTTTCTAATGACATTTTGCCGTTCCTGTTATCCAATATTACCAAGCTTGAAAGGCTTTTATTGGACACATTATTTCAGTTTTAGACTAAAGTAATACATTTATTCTGAAGTTTTGTGATAAAGTATCCAAAGCTCTTCTCCTCAGATTTAAATCTGTCCAATACTTCAGATTTTCCTATCAATATGCATGTTCTGCTCATTTTCAACCAAATTGTTCTCCACAAATATTTAGAATTCATTTTTAAGCTCTTCAACAACAGCTTCTGCTTTACTTCGGCTTTTACAACAGATTAACATTTATCCAGAAAAGTTGTGTAGAAGATGCAGTTCTCCTTGTTAATAATTTTATCTTTGACCAGGGTAAAATTGGTCCCAAAGGAGCAACAGGCGGGGCAGGACCCAAAGGGGAGCCTGTAAGTTGATATTCAAAGAATATGAATGTGTAATGTACATTCAGGACAATGAGAGTTATATCTGATAACTCTGACAGGGTATGCCTGGAAGAGATGGGAAAGATGGAACACCAGGGTTGGATGGTGAGAAGGTGAGCTCGACTTCTTCCTTCTGGGATAAACCGTTGCTGAGACTTCAGAGGGTCAGGGGGATTTTCTTTCTGCCCACAGGGTGATCCTGGACGCCATGGAGTAGCTGGAGAGAAAGGACCAAATGGACTCCCTGTAAGTACCTAACAAATCTTTTAGTCTAATTCTGTGATGTCTTCAGAATCCCCCGGAGAGCGTGTTTTTCTAAACCTTACTACCTCTGGATACACTCCAAATATGTTGCATTACGTCTTTTTGTGTATTTCTGTGGACCAGTGTGCTTATCAATGCTGGTGAGTAAAAAATGAAAAAGTTTAAGACATTGTCTCCTTTTTTTTAGGGTTTACCTGGAAAAGCTGGAGAAAAGGGATCGAAAGGACAAGTTGTGAGTATTTTGACATGAAAACAGTCCATAAATAAAGAGGCCCCAATATCAGCTGTTTATCCGCACTTCTTTCTATACCAGGGTGATGCAGGGAAGGCTGGGGAGCAAGGACCTTCTGGAGAGCCAGGTATTCCTGTATGTATCTGATGGGATTGTTTTGGAGGGACATCAACCACTCTGCATAGTCACATAACATCTAGTTGCACAATCTAAGATCTTCTGGCTTGTCTACAACCTGTTCTCTTCAGGGTGAACTCGGCGTGCCAGGAAACAGGGGGAGAGCAGGTCCCAGAGGAGTGGCAGTAAGTTAATACTCTCGATGTTAACTGAGAAAACTGCTTACTAGTCATAATTACTGAACCTTGAAGCACATTTACAAAAGGGTGAATTAAGCCGTCCCTTTGTCAAGTCACAGGACAATTGTGAGATTGGTTTGCATGTCTGATTGCTTGGTAACTAAAAATAATGGAAGTAATAAAGAGCCTCAATACCAGAAGACATTAATAAACAGCAGTGCACTGCTAAATTAATCTGAGATAGCATAGTAATAAACAGTCGGCTTCTCTAGCTATTTAAATGACGCAAAAGCAATACAAGTAACCCTTCAGAGGCTTACATGAGTTAATTAATAATAGAGAAATAAATGTAGTCCCAGCGCAGAAGGCTTAGTTTGTCTCAAATCAGATTCTAGAGGAACCCAAATAAAACAGAAAAGAATTACGGTATTATTATTATAACATGCTGTGCTGCATAACAAATATTGAAGAATGATGTCATTAGTTTATTTATTTCCTGTTCTCTGAATCAAAATAGCCTCATTAATAGTCTAGTAGAGTCACTGCTTATGTCTCATTCTAACAGGGAGGTATTGGACCAGCAGGCGGTTCGGGGCCTCAGGGAGTAAAAGGCTTCCAGGTCAGTGGGATGAAATCTAATAGTAAAGTGGGTTTTTTTTTAGCATCCATATTTTTAGATTTAGGTTTCTTAAATTGTATGTTGTAAATCTGCTGCAGGGAGTCAAAGGAGCCTTGGGCGACCCAGGACTTCCAGGGCCAACAGGACTCCGTGGAGAGTTTGGAGACAGAGTGAGTTCCTACAAGAAAAGTGTCAACCTGAGCCTTAGATTTCTACACTTCAGAAGGAGAAAAAAAGAAGTTTAAACAAGCTCAGCGCGACATCCCTAGAGGTTCTGTTTGGTTAACAATCAAACGGTTTGCTGTTCCTTTGAGGAAATGTTAAAAAGATGGAAACAATGCCGATACTGACCCTGCATAGATGTTTGAGATCATAACCAGGACATCCATCCTCAGTTCAAATTCAGGCTGCAGTCAGAAGAAAACACACAGAGAGACAAGGTGGCCTCCTGTTCAGAACCTGACGACAGAACAAAGCCGTCCTTTATGTCACTCCAGGTTCCCCTAAACCAGCCCCCCCCCCTCCCACCCTCAGAGCAACAAGTCCTCTGCATGTCTCTTTATATTGACTCCCTCCGTTTCACTACATCTTTAGGGTCCAGTTGGAGCTTCTGGAGAAAAGGGAGACATGGTAAGACATTTACCTTTCAGAGGTTATCTCCAGCTATTCAGCATTAATTAAGATGTTCTTTTAGAGCAAACAATTTTAGACATTTATCCAACAAATTCTAATTTTGTCACGTTCTCTAGGGCGTGGCAGGAAGTGATGGTTTACCAGGAGAGAACGGAGAACCTGTAAGTATTTTGTCCTAATCCTTCAATTGACTCCAGTTCAGGATGAATCTGTTGCATATTACAGCAAAACTCTGCAGGAGCAATACTACTCAACTCTTTCAGTAACGCATCCGATCACTTTGGTTTTCAAAAATTAAACAAGTCTCTTTACATTTTATTAAAATGTATTTGAGGAATTGCACACTGGTCTGATGAACTAAATAGGCATTTTGTAAACTAAATGTAACTTCAAAGAAAGGAAAGAGGGAAGATGGGACATTAATAGGTAAAGCTCAAAGAACTCAAGGGAGCTGCTCCAAGACAAAAGGAACAAAACGAGAAAGTTCTGGTATCTTCAGACCTCTGTGCTGTGGTAATGCTCACAGGATTAGCTGTACACTGACAAATATGCCGCCTATATAAATCCTTGGCCATCATTTAGACTGGACAGATTGGGTTGGCTGACCCTCAAAATGGATGGGGGATTGACTCTTTAGAGGTAGTTTATTTTTTATCCTCATTAAGAAAATACAAAAATGGTATCTTGCTGAATTTTCTAGAAAATAAATAACTCTTTATTATTTCTGTGGCATGAGTCAGTGCTTCAATAGGAAACATAGCATCATAGACATGCACTGCACTGCTGTATGCATCTCCTGGACCAGAGACATCAGATATTTCTTAGGTGGAAAAATGTACTAATATGAGTCAGGTTGTAACATTTTCCTATTCAGTGATCATTTTTGGAGCCATGTCAGCTACTGATGCTGGTCCACCATGTTTCATGAAGTCCAAAGTCCCTTTTCCACCCAGAGTACCTTCTGCTTCCCTCATCTGACTTTAATAGAGCCACAGATTTCCTTTATCGAGCAGGACTTACTACATGCTCACACACAATCAGAGGAACCAATACCTGTTCAGTGATAGTTTTGTGGTTGATGCTCAGAAACTCCCCTGACCTTAACCCTTTGGAGGAATCTGTAGAAGATTGACAGACACAACTATGCAGATGAGCAAAGACTCTTATAACATTAAATCATCAGCAGTGAAGCAGGCTAACTAGCCACTATTCAGTGCAGTAATCAATACAAATGGAGGCAAAAACCAAGTATTTGTACATTTTAACTGGAATGATATTTCTGATTTTATAGCTAATTTACTGTTGCTGAAGTAATATTCTAGTGAGAAACCTAATATTTGGTTCTAATTATCCAACAGCAGTATGTGTAATGATGTATATCTATATTGATTCTTTCTGTGAATTGCATTAATGAAATACTATGTGATGACTACCTAATATACTGTTAGCCTGACCCTGAGGCCAAACGCTTGGATGGCTAAAGAATGTCTTTATTTCCAGGGTCCGTTTGGGCCAGTTGGACAAAAAGGAGAGGTAAGCTACTTGATCTATTTTCTCTGTCCTACATGTACAAAATCTCACCCTTCAAAGCATCAGTCCAAATACAGCCTGTGTCTGCCAAACAAGCCTCAGATGCTGTGTGGGTGTAATTAGCAGTCCGAGTTTGCTCCAAACTCCCTATGCGTCTGTTCCTTCTCCAAACATTCAAAATGGCGTCTTACCCTGAGCAGTTTTTGTGCACATGTGAAAGTGCACATTCCAGGATTAATAGGATTATTTAGAGATAGGCACTACAGCTTTAGCTTTATTGGCCTGTTTGCTGCTATCGCCATGAGGGAAAGACAAGTCACACTAAGCTGCAGCACAATTTGTGTAATTAGTAACACAGCGCTGATGAGCCTCACTCTCTTAGTCTCACTTACTGTTTGCTGTGCTCTTTGGAGTAATTATCAGGCAAAAGGAGTCCATATGAACCCACCCCCGCATTGTCTCAACAGGCCCAGTTTGTTTTTTTTCTGTGGTGTTTAGAAAGCGATTAAATATCAGTGAGGTTTTTCGGGGATAGCATAAAAGATTATTTGTTTCTGCAAAGCATACTGAGCAATTAAACTGGTAATTATTGCTAATTGCAGCCAGGAAAGAGAGGGGAACTTGGGCCAAAAGGTGTGACAGGTCCACAAGGAGAGATCGGGGCAAGGGGACCACCAGGAAAGCCAGGACCGATGGGGTTCCAAGGGGAGCAGGGCGCGCCTGGAATTGCAGGAAAGACAGGTGTACCTGTGAGTGAGATTTTTTATTTTCTTTTTATCATAGATGTCTACTTTTATCTGACAGCGGTTATGTTTCATACATGGCTTCCTGTGTTTTAGGGGAAATTTGCAAGTGAGCAGCACATCAGAGAGCTGTGTGGTTCCATGATTGATGGTGAGAGATCTGGGTTTCCATTCGCAATCCACACATTGACATTAGACATAGAAAATCTCACTTTGTGGCGTTCACTATCATGCAGATCAGATTGCACAGCTTGCTGCCAACCTGCGGAGACCCCTGGCACCTGGAATGGTGGGCCGCCCTGGCCCTGCGGGTCTTCCAGGAAAGCCAGGGGTTGCTGGTTCTGTCGGACATCCAGGAACCCGTGGACCACCAGGATACAGAGGCCTGCCAGGAGAACTGGGAGATCCAGGTCCCAGAGGTAAACACCCGCAAAATGATTTCAGTTTCATCCAAGTATTACCATTATTAGAGATACATTTAAAGACAACCCAATGATGGGAAAGATATAAACCAGGCATCCCCAAAGTCGGTCCTCGAGGGTTGTTTTCCTGCAGGTTTTAGAGGTTTCCCTGCTCCAGAACATCTGATTTACATTAATAGTTGATTAACAGGCTTTTGCTGAACTGCAATCATCAGCATCAGCTGTGCTAAAGCAAAGAAACCTCTAAACCCTGCAGGACTGCGGCCCTCAAGGACCGACTTTGGGGATGCCTGATGTTAACGAACTGATCAACAAAGTGCTGCCACACCTTGAGGGCACACCTGTGGGGGCAGGATGGGCGTAGTGATGTCACTCATCAGTTATTGGCACCTTGTGTCAAAGTAGTTGAGATGAAGCTAAAAAAAAACATAACAGACCTTTAAAATGATGCAGCCTCCACCATGTTTAACAGTCAGTGGTTTTAAGGTTTGAAATTGACACCAGCAAAATAACCTTTGCTTTCTATGCATAGAAGGATTTTAAGTATGTTTCACTTTATCCTCCTAGAAACAGAAAGCTTTATTGAGAACAAAAGTGTTGATTTTCAAGCAGAGAGTGACAGTTTGGTGGTTGTATCAGACTGAGTGTTTTTTTTTTTTTGCCACTGGCGCTGTAGTATGGCACTGAATTGGCTGAAGAGAGGTCTACTTCCAAATAATTCAATTGCACCTCATGTCTACAGAACATTGACTTAGTGTTTCAACAGGACAATGCAGGGAGTTTTTATATATTAGAAATAAGTGATATAAGTTTGTGTACAGAAAACATGGCTTGCTGTGTAGAGTTCTTTACAGCAAACTCACAAAGACTAATACATGTTTTTGTTTGTTTTTTAAATGACAGGTGATGTTGGTGAGGCAGGTGATAAAGGACCAGTTGGTAAAGCTATTGATGGACCTCCAGGAGATCAAGGATACCAAGGTAAGGCAGCCATTTTAAATCCTCTCATGGATAACTGCTTCTCAAATTCATCTAATCTTGAAAATCCTTTCTCAACATCAACAGGTCTTCCTGGAGTACCTGGGTTTGCCAAAGATGGCCGTGATGGATCTCCAGGAGATCCAGGTGAGCCCGGCGAACCTGGCAGGACGGGTCGGACAGGGCATCAGGGTCCTCCTGGGATCTGTGATACATCAGCCTGCCAGGGAGCGTCACCGGCGGAGAAATCCACAAACCCCAAAAACAATTAAGGATGACTTTCTGCAGTCTGACTACGCCGCTTTTAGGAGGGGATGTGTTAACATGAGAGGAATGACACCACAGAACGTTTACAAGTCCTCTTTATTTTAACACGTGTATCTCAAAGGAGGAATGACATCTACAAGTGTGAATGGAGAAACTTCCCAAGAGCGACAGGAACACCAAAACCCCCCAAAGGATAAAAAAAGTAACAGGTAACATCTTGAAGTAAAGCGGATCAGGCATTGAAAAGTACAAGAGAACAACTGTATTGTTCCAATGTTTCCCAAACACAACAGGCATGCTCCATTTGTTTCTGTTATCATCAATGTGTCACACAGCAGCTGTGACCGCCTCTGCTGTGTTTCCTCAACATACAAACTGGCCGTGTAAAATATGGACAAAGGTGCAGGGGCTGAAAATGCTCTGTCCCAGCTGCCCCGAAATTTTGTAGAATAATGAAAAACGACTTATGTGCATTTCTTTTTCTTTTTTTACTGCTTTAATTTTTTTTAATATTACTTGTAAAGAGAAGTTAATTGACTAAAGCTAAAATAATCTTAAACAGTTTAAAACATTTGAATGCATAAATAATATGTGTAATTCATAAAAAAATTAGGAACCTTTAAATTTCTTTGGTTTTCTTTCTCAGTCTGCAATGACCACATCCACTGTGTAACACCGGTGCTGTAACTATTAAATATACATTACATTAAATACTATTTATTATTGTGGGTGACTGTTGTATGTACAGTAAGATGCTACAGCGACATGTTGTAAGAACAAATAAAGCCACTTTTCAGTAAAACATTACTCTTTTCTACATATCAAGAAACATACAATCTAAAAAACCAAAATATATCTAATAATTTTATATTTCAAGTTATCACAACTCATTAAATATATTAACAGACTAGAATAAATAGAGGCTAGAAAGCCTAAACACATTCAGCTTGAACATCTGCTAAAACAAATATGTGATGGAACATTTGAAATATGTATTAAAATGACAATTACATTAAATGAGAGGGAAAACAGCCTTTTTCTCAGCAGATATTTTTCATTTTCCAAAGAAAAACAGCGCCACCTTGTGTGAAATGTGGTTACCATTTAGGGAAACAAATGGTTTTAGTAATTCTGATACTACAGTGACATCTAGTGGATTTATAGTGCAACTGCAGGAAACCTGTCCTCTGTTAACATAAAGTAGATCTTGCATCCATTTAGAGTTAAATATTAAAATGGTCTTTTCCGTCACATTAAACATCAACCTTTCAGTTTACTAATTCAATTTAAGATGCACTAAGTGTGGAACAGAGATGGATGAATTAGATCACTGCTCATCTGCTAGAGAAATCCTCCATGTCTCGCTGGCCTTTGGGCTGGATGGCTGTTGGCCTGAAGAGTTGCTGAACTTTAAAAGCATTTCTTTCTCATTAATGATGACATTCTGAAACTCCTGCAAAAGAGAAATAGTTCATTTAAGATAGAATATTTTACAGAAAAAGTTTAGCAGTTAAGCATAAAGGTTTTATGGTGTACGTTTTCCAGAAGTTTTTTTTTTATTATTTCTGAAGGAGGCTTTTTTTTTTTTTTTCAAAAGCATATAATTAATAGGGAAACATAAATAAGGTGTAGGCTTTCTTCTTCGATTTATCATTTCTGTTTTATAGCCAACCTATTGGTTCAGAATGATGTTGCAATTTAAATATATTTCATTGTAACTTGGGTCTTGTCACATGGTGCTCTTTGAAACTCCAATATATACCAACTATCTTTTAATTGAACTTTATTGATCTCACGCTGGAGAAATTTGCCTCTGCATTTAGCCCATCCCCTTGGGGACCAGTGGGCTGCCATCGTGGGGCGCCCGAGGAGCAGTGTGGGATTAAGGGTCTTGTTCAGAGACCCGGAGTGGCAGTCTTTCATCACTAGTGGCAGCATCACACCAGGAGTGTATCAGGATGCTTCACCGTTGAATGCACACAGAACACATGACAGGATCACATCTATGATTCTTTTGACAAAATGATCCTGCAAGCATCACAAACTACTGGAAGGATTCATCTAAAATAAATAAAGTTTTCTGATGCCAATTCTTGTAAATCTAGACGCCGTTTTAGCAGTGGTTTCTTCTTGCCCTGTTTGTTTAAAGGGAATATTCTAACAGCTGCTGTCACCTGCTGCCAATAAAGAGTGGGCTCTGCACTGGTGGCGCATATTGCCAAGATAAGCACATCCCAAATTGTTTTGCTATTCCTGAAGTTTCCCTCATACTTTGCTTAAAAAAATTATTTTGGGTGTTCTAAAATGTGAACCAATTTTTAAGAAAAAGAACGATGGCTCTATATGTTTGGGTTAAGATAGTCTTTTCAAGTGATTGATTGTTCATAAGGACAGGTGTGAAACATTAAGACTGGGCCAAGATATATCTGAATACATCATTTTTTTTTTTAAGTTTTATGGATTTAACAGAAGAGAGACCCATGATGAACCAGATGGAAGGGACTGCAACTGGATCAACGACAGGTAACAGACGCCAGCAAGATGGAGGTGGAACACTGGTTTGGGCTGGTATCAGAGAACAACTAGTTAGAGCTCTTTTAATTAAAGACTGGCTCTAAATCAACTCCCCAACTCACACCCAGTTACTAGAAGAGGTTTTACTCAAGCAGTGGAGCAGGAAAAAGTTTGCAACTTCAAATAGAAAAATATTATATCCAACAAAGTTCAATAGCAGCCAATAAAAGCCTCAAAGACAAAAGATTAATAGCATGAACCTCTTACTCAGCTGACCTAAACCCTGCTGGGTACCTTCTTTATTGGAAGACTTAAATGTAAAGAAAAAGAGCAGACCCCTCCATACAGTGTCCATTAGGCCGTAGCAGCTGCTACTCAAATGGTTGATCTTCAATTATCAAGAAGCTGATAGACTCCATAACTGGAAAGCCTCATTACTTTTATTAAAAGTAGAAGAAAATGTCAATAATATATTTAGATGTCCATCCATCTTCTACCACTTCTCTATGGAGGGACTGGTGCCTATCTCTAGTAGTCTGTGGGTAAAATGCAGAGTACACACTGGACAGGTGGTCAGTAGAAGGTTTTTGGACTGTGAGAGGAAGCCGGAGTACCAGGAGAGAACCCACACATGCACGAGGACAACATGCAAACTCCATGTCAAAGGGACCCTAGGTCAAGGTTCAAACCCAGGATCTTCTTTCTACAAGGCAACAGTGGTACAACCTGGACCTCCATGCAGCCCCTATTTGTAAAATGTTGTGTTGTTATCATGAGATGAAAGGTAACAAATGAGATGGGAATATCTTCATTTTCATTTAGTTGCTGAATAAATCTGAGGATCAATTGTTGTGTACCCGCTATGTACCTTACTATTGTGGTTTGATATTATTAGACAGAGTTTGAACACCGTAGCTGTAAAATAATAAAATAATACCTCAAGAAAAAACTTCCTTGTGCACACATCATATTTAACTCCAAGAAGATGGCTGTTATTTACAATAAAAGCGATCGCCTGAAAACATAAATAATGACATACTGTAAAAAAAAAAAAAAAGGCCCAATAAATTACTTTAGAAGTCTATATTATACATATGCTTACCTTCTTGAAGTTGTCTCCATATGTTTTATTGATGTATCTCAGGAAAGCAGCGGTCCACTGAAGAGTGGTGACTTTATCAGTTTCAGGCAAACAGAACGGCACCATTGTGTTCAGCTCATCACAGCACAATCGGATCCGTTTCCTACATAGAAGCAGACATTTCACAGTATCCCCAGTAAATCCAACTATGTTCTGTCTCACACACTAATCAATCATGTCCCATATCTCACAAGATACTAAACTTCATCTTTTAATTATTCTTCAAATCTGGAAAAAAAAATGTGGTTATTTCTTTGCTATTTAGCAAAACTGTTTTACTCTAGAAAAACAAATAAGACAATTAGATAATTAAAAACTAAATTTTTATAAGCCTTTTATCACTATGGTTAAATATTGTTTATTGTTAGTTTTAACTTATGCAGTAATACAATTTAAATCTCCATAAAGCATTTGTCTTAAACTGGAAACATCACTGCAGTGAAAGGAAAAATGGACAGGAACATGTGGCAGTTTAGCCTGGTTTGCTTAAAGCCATATATTTATGTAAATAAAGATAAGTCCAATAAATTTAGCTCATCTATTCATTGCAATCAATGATCAACCGATACAGTTTTTTTTTTTTTTTTTTAAGGCCGATGGCAACAATCTGACACCAGTCAGGACGATCCCCGATATGGGCTGCCAAGATTTTGGGGCTCAATTCTTTTAGCCAATGTTGCTTTTTTTTCTTCTGTTTATATGATAAATAAAAAAACATGACAAGAAATTTTAACCTTGTGAAGATTCTAAGTCATCCAGGTCATAGTCATTCCAGTTGTTGGCCTGGCTGATCAGGTGACATGCTTTGGTCGCAACTCCCACCCCCATAGAGGGACCAGAACATCTCGCCTCAACAATTCCCCCTTTCAGAGAAATAGACCAGTATCGGATATTGAAACCAAGCACCTGCCCATTCCTAAGGGACCCGTTCGTCTGGTTCAATTTGAATGTTTTGTAATCCAAAAGAAGTCTTTGCTTTCGCTCTATAAAGCCTCGAAGTCAACACTATTTCTAATATTTTGAATTGAAAAAGTTTCCCGGATGGGAAGCGAAACGTCTCCAAACTTGGAAACAAAGTCCAGTGGATTGTTTTTTTTTTTACTTTTTTGGAAACTCTCCAGTGTGAAGAAGAAATAAACAGTTTTCAATTTAAATATCACAAATTAATGCTTTTCTTGCTGATAATATATCCAGCATATAAGTTGGAGTCTGAGTAATAAGGTGCCCACCTGACAGGGAGGTTAATGATCGTCATGGTAAAGGTTGCAGCGGTGGACTAAGAGGAAAATGTGGATTTATTGAAACCAATATGGTTGGGAATGGATGGGAAAGTGAGCCTGTTTTAATTAATAAAAAGATATGTTAGAACTAGCAGAATTAAATTAAATAAAAAAAAAATGTTCTTGTCTGCAAGGAATATTTGAATATTTAAAGGATAGGGATTAAATTCTGGCATAATAGAGAAGGTATGTCTATTAGATCTAACATAAAGTAACAGATGTTTTACGTAGAAAGGATGGAGAGCTACAGGGTGGTGATGCCTTCATGTACCTTTGTTTTCAGATACTGTGATGTCCAGAATTTAACAATTTAAATAAAGGAATTTTCATTATCAAAAATACTTGAGAATAAGTAATGGTTTGGTAAAAAGCTGCTAAAAACTGGCCTTTTACATGTGGATTAAATGTTTAAGCAGGCTTAAAAGGAAATACTCGGGTAGACAAACACAAGATTACATGCAATTGTGGAATTTTAAAAGCTAAATTAGGAAAAGCTTAAAAAAATACGCCGATTATACGAAGAATAAACACCCCCAGTAAAAAAAAAAAAACATAGTTTATATCAAAACAATAAATATATTTGTTATTGGACATCGGATAAAGTAGTTTACCCTTCAACCGGAGGGTTGCTGTCATAAAGACAGGCTAAAATGTCCCACCTGCGCTCCCTCTCACTGCGGTTGTGTCTCTCCTTGCGTTGGGTCTCTGATATACTAGAATGAGCTCTTCTGCGGCCGTCCCTCCTGGACACTCTGCCTGGGGCTGAAGCAGTTTTAGTAGCTTTGTTTGGCTCTGCGTAAACACTGTTGCAATGCCATCTGCTGACCTCAAGCGGCGCCACATCCTCTGTGTAAACCAGCGATCAAACAAACTTAGAAAAATCCTGTGTAGCATAACAGACAAATGGGTTGACTTAATAATTAAGTTAGTGATGTTTACTTTCAGCGATCACCCATTCTTTCTCTTCTTTAGGGCTGCAGCTGTCAGTATATAACGGTTTTGTTACAGAGGTCACTGGATGATGGTTAAATGACAAACTTGGGGACATCATCAAACCCTGAGGGTTGCTGGGTTCAGCCATTTCTACAACAACCTCCAGGAAAAAGAGAAAATTGAAATATCAGGTTAAACAAGATGCCAAAATGGATGAAAATAAATGATGAGATTATCTTCCATACCACCTGACTGAAGACATTGGTTATCGGGTCAAAAACCCCTCCGATGTGAGAGCTGGATACCTTGAAAGGATTTGCTCGCTCAGCTTGTACCCACTTTTGTGTTTGCGGATGTGCGAAGGCCTCTTGAGTTTCTGATGTCTGCTGAAATACAGTCAAAAGACTGAAGAGAGCATAAGAATAAAGGTTGTTACACAGTGTGCAAAAGAAAATATTAGAACAATGTTATGCATAATAAAAATAATACATTATATTAGTGCAACTAACTTGCTGAGAACTGCAGGGTGACTCTCCTGCTGCACTGTGGTGTCAGCACACATACTGTTGAATCTCTTCTCCAGACACACCCTCGCTGAAATGGATCGGTTTTTGGAAAACACTTCTTCCTTAACAGTCGACTTCAATGGGCTTTCTTCACTTCTGATTCTGGCCAGCACAAAGCTTGGAACCTCGCCGTAGTGCAAGGGAGTCTTCTCCCCTGATATCATTAGACTGTGGTCATTGTTTAAGGTTGAAGTTGACAAGTCAATAGCTTCACTAAACGTGTTAGGGGAAAGCCCTGTAGAGCATTCTGCATTTTGAACTGGCACTGCAGCTGGGAGAGGACTAGCATTAGGGCTGACTGAGAGCCCGGGCTCCAATTGTGCTTGGATGAAGTTCTGAGGGTTTGAGAATTCAACATCTGACATCCTTGTCAGATCAAACTCTAAGCCCGTCGTCTGACTCCGACCGCATGCACCCGGGCTCCAAATCAAACCAAGGAAGTCAGGGGTGTGATCGCTTGATGTGGACGAGGCATTGGGAGTTTCGTAAACTGGGTGCATGGATGACATACCTCCCCCTGGAGATGGAAATTACATTAAGAGAAATACAATTTATTTAACAACACATATGGTGCCATATCTTTGCATAGAATACTGAAACAAACATGTAGAGCAAATTCCATAAAACATATCACTCTTGAGGTTTTTCATTGATGTTTCACACAACACATAAACAAAATAGTACTTAGATGTAAAGTAGAAGTGAAATGATGCAGTTTTTTTAAGTTAATTTGGAATAAACGTCCCTTACTCTGGTTTTCCAATTTAAAACTTGCCTTCAGAAGTCCCAAAATTAGTCAGAGGAGAGAACCTGTATATAGTCTAATCTTAGCTGCTCTGTAAATAGCATCATACAGAACAAAGAACACATCAGTGTACTATATCGCATCCATCCCTGGAAAAGGTAGCATGGTCTGACCACTAAAGCCTAAACAGAGGTCAGGCGAGAAGAGTCCAAGTTAGAAGCACATAGAAGGCTCATAGTAACTCTGGAGGAACCGCAGGGGCCCACAGCTCAGGTGGGATAATCTATCGCAGGGCAACTCTTACAGGCAGTTGTAGACTATCTCCAAGGTGACACAGATTAATGTCAATCGCATACAGATGTTCTCAAACATGTGGCTTTTGGCCAACATGTGGCAAAACCCCTGAAACCTCATCTCTCTAACCTAAGTTATCTTGCAAAGAACAGGCAAAAAAAAGTCAACTTAAACTAGAATAATATTAATCATAAAGAAAAAAGGGTCTAAATGGGGCTCTACAAAGAATTGAAGAGAGTTGCGTACAAATACACACTAATCCTTTTGAATTTCTGTGTAGAAAACCTTTTTAAACCACCCTTTTCCTTCCAACTTGTTGATATTTTGTGTTTGTCTTATAAAAACCTGCAAGAACACATTAGAGTTTGGGATAACATTAAATAAAGTGGGCAAACATAAAAGTTAGGCTATAAAATATTTTTAACATGTAGTTCATTGTTATTAACAATAAATTAAGCATATAGATAATCAATTCAGTAAAAGTTTCACTGTTTTAGTGATTTATACAAATGTAGCGATATACAGCATTAACAAAGCACTAATATATTGTTTTACAATAGCATATACAGAAGGCCTAAATAGTAGAAAACTTCTATCTTTAACTTATTGCTTGAATAAATATATTAATCAGATCTTTTTTTCACTCACTGATTTCATATCAAAATAAGTATTTTGATTTCTTTAGCATTTAAATGAGTTATAATAGCAGCTAGCTGGTGAACTCTATATTAGCATATTTAAACAAAGCAGCGAACCAAATATGCGACATAAAAGATGTTATAATCATTTATATATTTACTGGGGAATATATAAAAAAGGTACAACTAAAATGTTATTTTAATGGCTCGTTCAGCTATGTCTTTTTACCTGAAAGTTAACTTCTGAACGGATGGTTGTTCGACGTTTTTCAACGGTGTAACCCGGTGGTCTTCAACAGGAGGTTCGCGACCCCTAGGGGGCCACGGAGGTACTGCAGGGGGTCGTGAAAGTCTCGGTTGATTAGACTATATATATATATATATATATATATATATATAAAACTGGGAACTGGCATTGAGAATTAGCCTTAGCTAAAATGTTGTAGTGTGTGACATGATTCATGAAACATACTTGTCCCTATCAAATCAACATATTTGATAGTGACAAGTATATATATATATATATATATTTTTTTTTTTTTTTTCCTGCAGTTTTTTCCACTAACTGAAATGTTTTTAAATACACATTAAGATGAATTCAACACACTGCATTAAACAGATATATGGAGGCAGAAGATGTCTTTCAGTCATCAATGTACACCTTCAGCGATACACAGGAGCTCTTTTAAGCTTAGGGAACCATTTCATTCACAACACCTGTCCCATCAATGAGGAATGAGAAATACTTGAATAATCCCCTGGCGAAATTACTTTTGTTACATGACTCCATCTGTAATAGAGTGACTATAGGACCTGTTTGATATAACACAATTTCATACAATATATTAGGGGGTCCCCGCTCCATCTCGCTTTCAGTTTGGGGGTCCGTGGCCTGGAAAGACCCCTGGTGTACCCTGTTGATGACTGAAGTAATAATGACTGCTCAAAAGTGGAATGTACAATAAATGATTATAAAATTTATTTTATTTAATCTTTTTACTTGAGCATTTAATTCTTTGGCATGTTAAATCTTTCAAAAAAAAAAAAAAAAAAAAAAATATATATATATATATATATATATATATATATATATATAAAACATAAATACCTTGCCCGGAAGGATAAAAATAAAGACAAAATAAAATCTATAAATCTGCCTTTATAAAACTGGAGCTCCTCTGAGTAACTTCCTTATAATCAAATTTAAAGTTGAGGATTTGGGAACAAAATACAGAAGAAAAAACTTACAGTCACACTGATTTCATTTATTTTACATTGTTTTCATCAGTTATGACACCTGGGGTCCATTTCATGAAGCAGGTTTAACAAATTTAAATCCGCAACTCTAACTTGATTTAGCCTAAAGTCGGGAGCTCTGACTTTTCGGTTTCACAACAGGTGAATTATTTCAACAACGATGAAGCAGACTGAAGATGTTTTATGGTTATCTCCCTTTTATCTCCTCTTTCTTTCATCTGTTCTCCTTTTAATCTGTAAAATTCCCTGCATAATTATAATAAAGCAATTTATATGCATCAATCAAGCGGAACACTATGGGGATAGTCGTACTGCTCCACTTGTGAAAGTAAAATCTGTTGGGCTCTTTTTGGCATCAAGACAATTAATCTTATTGCAGGATCGCCAGACAGGACACTGTTAAAGAAAAAAAAGCGTGATAGGTTTAAAAAATCATCATCATCATCATCATCCTTGAATCGACGAGTCGCCATGCCAACAGGCCTAATCGGAACCTAAAGTACCCTATCAACTGAGTTGTAGAATCCTCTCCCCATAAATATAAAGTTTCCGGGGGAAAAAAATGCTGATCACCCTTTAATAAGATGTGATCGATAGTCATTTTTTTAATGCACAAAACTATGAAAAAATCTGACTAAATCAGGGGGATTGGCTGTAAGGGGAGCTGAGACAGACAGGTGGGTTCTTACAAAGCAGAACAGAAACTATTTTATTTTATTAACCGACAACTAATATATTTTAATGTACCCCTTGCAATGCACTCACGGACCACTAGGGGTACATGTACCCCTGGGTAGGAATCATTGACCTACGGTCACAGAGTTTGGACCATGACCAAAAGAACGAGATCCAGAATACAAGCAGCTGAAATCAGCTTTTTCCGCAGGGTTGGTCCTCCCTTAGAGATAGGGTTAGGAGCTCACCGGGAGAGGCTTGGAGTAGAGTTGGAAGACGCACCAGCAGCACTTTATTGGTCTGCTGTATGGGACCACTTTGCATTTAGAGTGACCTACGATGACGGCGGAAAGAAAGTTGTGGATAAAAGTGCAACAGTGTGCAAGCATTGTGCAACACGTTTTGGTTATGCTAACAGCAACATGACCAACATGTCATGCTAACCCCGAAATCCCACATACTCCGCTCCGCCCCGCTGCGCTCCAGACCGCCTGCACAAAGCAAAGCATACAGCCTCCACTGTGGCTCCCGTCCCCCCCCGCTCTGAGTTCCTTGGAGATCGTAGAGGGCATGCACGAGATGATTAAATTCAAAGCAGCAAAACATGCGGAAATGATCCAGGGTTTCTGCGGATCATTAAAATTGATTACAATTCATAAATTTTTGGGGGATTTTTTCATTAATTTTTATGGGATTTCGGTGTAACAATCAACATATACCGAACCGAAAACCATGACCACGAAACCGTGAACCCAACCAAACCGTGGATTTTGTGAACCGTTCCACCCCTAATATATCTATAGATATATATCTATAGATATAGATATATATAGATAGAGCATACTCTAATGCAGTTATTCAACAAAAAAACATTAGAAAATGTCTAGTTTTTAAAATGTCACTTTATTGAATTGAGGTATTCTAAAAGAACACTGAAACAAGTTACATTTTGATGTCAAAACAAAAACATACAAATAAGATAAAGTAACAGTGATGCTATGGTTTTGTAAATAATAAAAAAAAACTATATCTACATAGCCTTTCAAACGTTTCCCTCTAGAAAACAGATGGCATAATTTACAACAAAATTTACAAGGTTTTACTCATAATCTTTACTATAACTAAATTAACAAACGGAGCACAAAATATCAATTAACCATTACAGATTTCACCCATGTCTGTCTGTGAGTCAACTTGTAATGGAAATTAAATCTACACTTTACTAAACAATATGTTTCAGAGGAGCCATATTGAAATATTATTCAGCCATTGTGTCCTTTTCAGTAAATATTTGATTTTTTTTTTCCAGTTTCAATATTTCTTTCAGTTCAAATCTGCAATCCAATCTTTTTTTTTTTTTTTTTTATTTCCATGATAAACCTGTTTCAGTAATTAAACAATTTCTTCTTCACACTCTCCATTAATTTACCATGCAGGACCACCTCGTCCTCTTCCACGCCCTCTGAAACGATTATCCACTGCTCTACCTCTACCTATTCCCCTGTTCCTACCGAACGGGGGACCAAACTGAGGTGTTTTGTCTGTGGAGTCATCACGACTCTTCAGCATGGTATTTGGCTGAGGTAATGGGCATTCTGAAGGGGTGGGAAGTAAGGCACCTCTGTGTCTTTGAGGTTGCGCGGCCTGTTGTTGTGGAGTATCAAAATCACGGATTGATTTTCCGCATCTTGTTGTAAAGGGTCCTGGAGGCCTTTTAAATGGAGCTGGAGGTCCTTCGTGAGTGTCAGTGTTCTGTTGATGAGGACCCCTTCCCTCTCTGCTAGTGGGCTGACCTCGATGCCTTTGTTCTTGTTCCCTCCAACCTGGACCTCTCTCAGAGTTTGTATCCCTTCTATCTTCTCTTGGTCCCATATTATTAGGCGACATCCCCGTTATTTCTGTATTGCCGGGACCTTGTTGTCTCATCACCGGACCTCTCCTTACTCTTTTAAATTCATGTTCAAATCCTTGGTAATCTGTCCTTAGATCATCCCCATCTACACCATGCCTTTCAGTTGCCTGTTCTCCAAAATCTAAAACTCTCCCATCAGACTCAGGAAACTCATTAAAATTTCTGTAGCCTGGTTTTGGGCATCTTAAATTTGGACCCCCCCTCTTAAATGGTCTCCTGTTTGGGTGTGATCTTCTTAAATTGAAACCTCCCCTTGGAGTCCTGGGTATGCCAACATCATGGCCCCTCATATTTCCCTTAAAGTCCTGGTGCCTCCAGTCATCCTCCATGTTTTCATGTCTCTGCATAGCTGATCCTCGTCCTCTTCCTCTGACCCTACCCCAGTTTTGTCTTCTATTACATGTACTCCCTCTACCTCTGAAAAATACCCCAGAACCTTCTCCATCAGGCTCTGTCCATTCATGTCCTTCGCCTTCTCCATTAGGGCCAGGATGGTCTAGATCTGTGTTGTCTTGAGCTGACCCTGGAGCGCTAAATGCAGGACCATCCCAGTCATCTCCAGAAACAGGAAACTGCACATTTTCTGAATCCTGTGCATCTTCCCATTCAGTATAATCATCTTGCCTATGGGACTCTTCAACCTGTTCATCAGAACCATCTTGGAAATTCGCAAAACTCCTATCTTCACTGTTGTCCCAAATATCCCCAGAAGATCCTCTTCTTCCCCACTCCTCAAAC